ATTCAAGAATATGTTATAAATTGCAAATTAGTATCAACCATAACTACAAATTATAGTACCATTAATTTCCTATCCTTTGTATGCAATAGTCTTCCAACATTTTGATATGAACAAATTGCTTTAACAAATTTCTACTTTGCTTGTTATACATGTATGTATATATAATTGAACAAAAACATGTGCCAGAAACTACATATATTGCCATTACATTTCTCTGACGATCTTACTTTAATCAATTATTTTATACATATTTATAATTGATAAAAAACAGTTGGTCAAAAAAGAATTCCATTTATTTCCCACCGTATGGCATTACCACAAATGTTGCAACATAAGTAGACTGTGGATGTTTATGCAAATATAGAATTTGTGGATCAATTTATAAAAATTGTAGTCAAGTAAAAACCTATTTGCCATACTAAGGTTTCTACAAGGTTCGACAGAACATAAAAACCTCGATAAGCTTTATGAACATTTTGAATTACCGAGAAACGTGAAAAACTTTTGAAAACACGCACATATTATAAATTAACTAATTCATTAATTTTCATATTGCAATGAAAGTTGTGTAAAATCCGAGAAAATGCATTGTTGTAATATTTTAATCATTGTTATGAGAATAGACTAACCAGCCATTCCGACCGTTTTGGTAGTTCTGGTGTTAAAAATTGAATTGCACCGTCTTTTAGACACTCGTGTATGCGATAAATGCATAAAATCCAATCCAGTCCAATCACAAGTAAGTATGAAAGTCTTCGAACTTTTTGGCAAGTCTGGCATGGAGTTGGGGTACCTACTACGATTTGATCTTGAGGTGGAAGCACGAAATACAATTTAATAATTGAACGAACTTACCAAGTGAAGTTCAATTAGAACTGTATGAGCGGCCTCCTCCGAAAAGATCAAACCCATCCTTGTTTTATAAAGACCCATCATCTATTACCATAGATAAACCCAATTTATTACAGCAATACTTTAAAGTAGTTTAAAGGAATTAGTATCGCGGCCGGCATCGCATGCATGTATTCTTTATACTTTAAAAATGTGGTAATTCTGACATGGAGTAGGAGTACTACTACAGTATAGATAAATACAAGGGAGAGATGAATGGTTCATTCCGGTTGACAAGTGAAGCAATAAAAAAACAACAGAACACACGCGATTTGTTCTTGCCATCAAGGTCAACGAACTCCTTGTGGTAACTGCTAGTTTTTTTTTTACCACCGGATGTTAACGAAAAAAAACTTAATAGCCCGTGGACACTTTCAGCGTGTTCGCAGGAACTTGAAAACGATCGCGGTGATGACGGGAGCTTTAGCTCCGTTTCGGCGGGGAATTTGTACCGTCCGCGCGCGCGCGCGTGCTCATTCTCCGCCGGCGGGCTCGGAAAAATAGAGAAAAGAATCGAAACACTACCGTTATGTTCACCCAACTCGCGCCATAATTACAAGTTGCTACTTGCGAGATGTATACGGCTGCCGATACAGCACGCCGCGGAAGCTGCGGAGCCTTTCATTCCGCGGTGTTTATGATAAAGTTGAGTCATGATGTCTGTCAACGTTTAATACGTACGATTAGTCTTCTCTAATTTATGTACCGTGCCATCCCAGCCGACGTGATGTTGGACGTTTAGTTATAAAACAACTGTCTAACCTTCGTTTTTATGTTCTCATCGATTCAGGTTTAACACGCGTTGCTGGCTTCTTGGAAGCACGTGTTACTGTCCGCCATGTTTGAATTGAGACGATTCAGTAAGAGAATTATGTACAAATTGTCGGAGAAAATCTAACCTGCACACAGGTGAGGAACATGATTTAAATGATTAGCGTGACAGAATATTTTCGTGTGAATATAGTATTCTTAGGTAAACCATTGTTAGAAACTGATGTGTTATTATATGTATATTGGATATACAACAATAACCTTTTGCCACTTATTCTGCAAAAAAAGTTCGGGAATTATTGAAAAATATAATGTGCAAATAACTATCATCCATATAATTATGGCTACAACTGACCAGAGAATTCCTTCAACTATAAAAATGAACGTCTACTGCGCCAATTCTTAGAAAAATCAAAACTACTTATAAGTGTAATATAATAAATGTGATGTCTTGTTATCATATAGTTTTTTACATATTTGTGTATTTACAGGGGTGACAACCCCGAGTAGAATTTGCACATACGCTTTGTGCTTGTTCTGTGATGTGGTTACATTAATTTTTCTTTGCATTAAAATTACTGTCAGTTTTATGTTTGTTCAATCGGCTACTCTATATTTTACTAAATGATAGATATTTGTATAACCTATATTTTCGTTTAACATTTAATGTTTCATTCAACACGTTGCTACATTTATTTATTGAATATTGGTTTGGTGTGTATCTGCTGCTGTTACTATATGTTATTATGTATCTTCAGATTTCATAGAAATTAATTTACTATGGGGATTCTTTCTTTATATCGATGAACGTTTTCGTGCTCTTTGTATTTTGTAACACACTTAACACGTATCTTTTACGGTTAGATTTTCATTTTGAAAGTTACTTCACTTGTTTAAGTTTCGAATTAATGACTCCTCATACATGAACGAGTTAGAATATTGTGAAAGGCCATCTACTTTTTATTCTATTTTTTACAATTTTATAAATTCCGATATTTGTATTACAAGCTCAAGAAAGTGTATAATCTGCCGTGCAGTATGAAAACATTACTATTTCACTTCATTCCTCTTTAATTCATTTACTAAAGGATTGCACTTATCAACATTTTCTATTATGTTCTAATCAATTTTGCACTATTACAGAATATTATGTTGCAATGAATTCTCTTTCGCTCGTTTCATATGCAGCTTTCGTTTTCGTTATCGATAACAGTCGTAGCTTGTTTCATTCTTTGACATGCATTTCGAAGAAACTTGTGTTCTACATACCTCGCGTAAAACGAAACAAACGTCTCGCGTGTAAGTACAGCTTCACGAGTTACTTCTCGTCGAGCCAGATTTAATGAAAACTAGAGACGTCGAACAAGCAATTCCACTTATTTTCTATTTTGTCCAGAATCACATGGAACAGGACAAAATGATACCACGTTTAAAATAATTACGTCTTTATTCCTGATTAATGATAGTGTTTTTATGGTGTCTGCTAGACATCTCGTTATTAGAGATACATATATGTAATTAGTTCCTGGACGTAAATCGTTTGTTAAATCTGCTTAAAAATCATTTTTTTCCTAATTGAATCAAAATATAAATACGTGTATTCGAAATGTTAGCAATTTCTATAATAAATTTATGTATCCAAAATTTACAATAAAAGCAGAGTAGGTACTTACAAAAAGTTATGTTGTAGGACAAATTGGACTGTTTTTTTTTCAATAATCAACTTTATAATCTTTTAGGATGTCAACTCATCTTTCATCTGCGTAGACACGTTTTATTCAGTTGATCCTTTATATTAATATAAGGTATTCTTTTATAGGCACATATTTAAAGTGGTGGAAGAGGTAGATCATTGTGAAAGCAACCTGTTCCGTAAGACAAAATGTTGCTATGTATTATAAAATAGATAACTGCTGGTCTAGTGTATTTCTCTAGTTATTCATCCGCAACTTCTATATCTTTTACTGCTTGTCGAGTTGAACAAAAACTCTTTTTCTATTGTGTATAATTACATGAATCTATTAGATGAAGCAGTTTCTTAGACTTTAGCAACTGATACAAGTTTTAAAAATATAATATTTCTTGACAAAATAATTACGAGTGAACTATAATCAGTTTTCTTTACGATTGATAGTTGTATATAGGTATTAATATTAAGTTTCGGGTTCCCATTTTGACGTGTATCAGTGACGTGTATTTTTGAAACTTGTAGCTGCAATTACTTTGCCAATTTACTTTAGTTGTTTTTTACGGAATTTAGATATATCTTCTTTTTAGCAAATACATGGTAACAATATTATAAATATCAAATTTAAAACTTTTTGACCATCAAAATTTTCAAAAATGATATTCGATTACCCTTTCGATTACCCCATTCCCACTTTACTGACCGTAGCCTATTAATTGACTTTTGAATTTCAGTACTTATAGGTACATAAGAAACCTATTAATTTACCCTCAGATCTGGGTTAAAGAAGAAGTTAGTTATTCTATTAGTTCTTGCTCTTTTTCATGAATGTACTGTAATTTACTACTGTGATTCAACTGTTTAGTAATACATAGTTTCTTGGATATTGATCGTTAGATCTACTAAACCTATTAAATAATAGACAGTAGGTACTGTGGTAAGTATTACAGCATTTTATACTGGAAGTTTATTACGCTGTTTTTTTGAGTTCACAGAATGTCTGCAGTATATTTGTACAATGTTTTGAAGACATTTTTATACACTTCATCTTCTCATTAAACGAAACAGAATTTTTCAGAAACTATTCGTTAGTCTATATTTTTAAAGTTCCACCATATAAAAAAGCTTCAGATTGCAGAACAAATATGGAAACAATTCAGAATCATCTTATGATAGCTCGATTTTTCTAACCGGAGGTATGCTATCGTGTGTGCTGTTATGCAGTTTCCAATTATCCTTCGATAAATTATTTTGCTCTGCCGGTTAGCATTCCACGGGTAAACGTGCTACGCGATAAAAATGATTCTATATACGTTGTATCTCATTTGATTCGCCTCGGGAGCAACATAAGCCTCTCAAGGTCAGCACGGCAACGAATTAAAAATCCATCGTGACGCGTGTGATCGATTGTCTTGCGATCGTAAGTGCAGGTACATCGCCGATCGTAGAAACGTGTATAGACCATTAAAGCCGGCCCCGTGCAATATGCGGTACGGTGTGTAAAATGATGCTCGTTTACGCGTCACCTCTCTTCCCTTCTAACGACGAGCATCAATTACGGACGGAACCAGCGATTATTTCCTGCGAAATCGTTCGCGACGGAACAATGCGATAAATCCCCCTGGGGCTTGTATTCAAAACGAGATACGTGTATTACTGTCGTTCTCTTAATTTATTTGACACTCGATATACATTACAAGAAATGGGATGATCAAGATGATGGACATTATACCGTGTCGAAAATTAATGTTATTACGGGTACACGTATACGAGACCCGTTAGATACCGTACACGTCGCAGAGGTATTTATATGAATTCAGGCAGCATGATGTCGGTAACTCCTTCATTCCGGTCTTATCCGTTTGGTTTACTTGCCCCTGGAAAGAAACAATTACAGTCAAGAGCAATAACTCGCCTAACTTGACATCTGAGTTGTTCACAGGTCAAAGTGACTAAGTCCAATTTTTGAATGTTTTCAAATTTTAATATTAAAACACTTGATTGGTGCATAATTTTTTACATTATTATATTTTTGTGGAGTTAAATTGGCAAACGAACGGTTTATTTACTAAGGAGGAGAGGGCCCCAACTTCGAGTCGCCGATTCTAATGAATCTTTTGTGACATATCGTCGGCTTCTTCCTCTTTACTACATGTTACCCGATTATTTGCAAGTGTTATAACGCCGAGACGACCATGGTACCTACTGCGACGAACAGAGTTCAAATATGTCCTTCCCAAATATTTTTGGACGTATTTGGGACGTATTTGAACCCTAACCATCACGGTGGAAACCAAGTACGTTGCTCTGGCACTATAACACCCGAAAATAATCAATCACCATAACTTGTATTTAACTTTTTCATTGTTGTTAGCGCCTATAGACGCTTTGAAAATTTACTCGTAGTGTGCGCTTGGCGCCTATAAGTGCTCAAAGTTCAGTTGTTAGACACTGTTAGCGCTGTGTTCTCAAGAACGATTGCTACAAACCACTTACAGTGGACTCTAACTATATTGTCATGGTCGGGAGTGTAGGGGAGCAAAATGGCAATGTGTTCAGATACCCCTCCATGCTAAGTTCTATTGTCATTGTCTCGGACTCAGCGTCTGCGTAAAAGCTAAGTCAGTGGCAATATAGTTAGAGTCCACTGTATTATTTGCATGATTTGCTGGAGCACACTACCACAGACGAGATATAAGGATAGACCTGACCTGGAATGTAATTTTCTGTTCCATGCTTCAGGGGCGTGAGGAACCCCCGTACCATTTCAGTACTTCATATATGGCTATATGCAGTCACAGGTGTGTGTGTGTGTGTGTTATGCGTTATCACGGTGTCGAACGTAATTCCTGAAATCGGAAACATTTATGTAGAGGTTCGCTCGAACCAGCGTGCTTTTCGTGGGACACTAACTCCCATGAGGTCTATTCTTATATCTCGTCTGTGATACTACTGAGACCACTGTTACCATGTGTAGATTGAAATTTTCTTCAATCGTTGTCGCTGACGAAAAGTTTTACTGTGCACAGCGTTGATCATGGTTAGATGTTTAGCGTCTGCTAACATTGGTATCTGTCGCAGTAAAAAGATTAAGTCACGTGGAAAATTTCAGAAGTAAATAACTAAAAAACTTTCGAGTATCTGCCTCTATATGGGGGCGATTTTTAAAGAGGAAAACGCTTTTTATATATTCTAAAAGTTTCATTGAAACCGGCGATCCCAAGTTGGGGTCCTCTCCTCATAAGTGAGTAGCTATGTAATTGTAAGTGAAATTTCATACACACCAAGATTGGGCTGATGCTTGAGCTGAAGCCTGAGCGTACGAATTACCTCCTCCACCTCCTCCTCCGTATCCGTTGTGACCACCACCGCCGCTAGAATAATACAAAAATGTGAAGATGATATTGTGTATACTCAAACTGCCTACGTATATTGATAGGACTTCTGTCAGACACTGGTACATAAAGTCTGATCAAAAAGTTCTGGAACGTTATGTATAAATCATTTATTATTAATGTTAACAATAATTCCCCGAGATCACCATGAAGGTAATCTCTTTCTGCCCTTGTATACCTTTGAAATTTCTTTTCCAATTTTCAAAAGCGACCTGGTAAGCGGACGTCGGAATCAAGTTTAATTCCTCCTGCGATTTCTTAGTTGTCTGTAGTCTAACGAAACATCATCCATTTAGCACACGTTTAAGGTGAGAGAAGAAGATAAAAATTTCTTAAAATTAGTCATAACAAGAGACAAAACTTGGCTCTATGGTTATGATGTGCAGATCAAGCAGCAATCGAGCTAGTGGGTTTCACATTTAAGCGACACCTGCCTGTTTACTTTGAATGTGGTGAACCACGGCGACCATTGGTCACCGCCTGGCTCGATTGTTGTTTCGTCTCCACATCGTAATCATAGACCCATGTTTCGTCCCCAGTTATGATTAATTTTAAAAACTTTTGATCACCCCTTGCCTTCGTCTTTAGAGGGCGGGTTGGCTTTTTCATGACCTTTTATATTTTCAAGTTAGAACTTTTATATATTTGTTGTAGTAATATACACACTGCCGAAAATAAGCAACTATCTTGGAGCCTAAAAATACGGTTCCCATCCTCTACAGGTTAAACGGGTGCTGAAAGGGCGATGTTCTGCCACGCGAGAGACAATAATTAAGAAATCACTGGAGGAGCTACATGTACTTGATTTCGGCGTCCACTTATCACGCTACATTCGAAAACAGGAAAAGAAGATTTCAAAGGTGTACAAAGGCAAAAGAGACTACCTTCATGGTAATCCTGTGGAATTATTGTTAAGATTAATAATAAATTATTTGTATATAAAGTCCCCGAAGTTTACGATGCAACTTTGTACACAATGTATCCCACTGGAAAAGTAAAAAGAACTTGGAACACTATTTGGCGTATTCAACTCCTTGATTTTCAAGATTCTTGTTGTTAAAAGTATTACTTTAATTAACATTTATTCGTAATAAAACTGTGCGAATGTAGACTTCTACTTATTGCATATCTAGAAAAACAAAACGTTAAGACGAGTTTAATAGTGCATTATAATGTGGCTTAACTGCGGATATTTATGCAAATTAAGAGTTTTCTGGACTATTTAAGCAGAACGAGACTCAAGCAGAAATTTGTTTGTTTTATAAAAAGATTTGATTGATTACACGTGAATTGAAAAGTTTATTAACACTTTTAACGGTGTTCGACGAGTGTACTCTGTATGTGAAAAAGTAAAATACCTTTTGCCATAACAATTGATATTTTAGTAAAAATGAAAAAATATACGTCTTTTATTAGAATAAAGGAATCATTAAGGCATTCCTCTTCTTTTGTTTCGTACCATTTGCATAAAAATCTGTCGTCTAATTGTAACTTATAAAATTGCAAAACTTTACCATGTACTACAACCTCCTCCGGACGGGTACGTCGGATGCGACGGATAACCAACTGCAACAGGTACAACAACTACGGGTATAACACCAACAGTTTGGCTTCCTATAAAAACCATTTAGCGTCAGAAGCCGAAGCGATGCGTTGCTGCAGTTCACTTTAGACAGACCCTGTCTTCTCACCTTATTATCTCGCGAACAATTTAACACTCCGGAGACATAATATCGTTGTCATTCTTTTTAATAATTTATCATACCATTATAAATGCAAGTTATTCTACGCTCAAGAATTAAATACTTTTTACAAGTTATAAATATCGATGCACCTACATGCTTGGAAACCAGTAAAATTAGTCATGCAACTACTGTACGGTACCATGTTATGTTTCTATTGTTAATGTAACTGTACACTACAAATTGAAAGTATAAAATTATTTACGTGGTAGTTTATTAATTTTAGTCGTTCATTCGGTTTACTCAGATTATATCGTTCTACGACTAAGAAAGGTACGAGCATCTATTGTAAATAGGATTTATGTAGAACTACTAGCCATAGTATATACTACTAGCAGTGTCTGCAGCGAAGTTCTTTGTTAATTGCGTTACTGCAAAAGCGTGCACTAATCGTTAGTGGATACGAATCCTTATTAACTCTTTAACTCCCAGTGTTGGAACGATCCAACATTCATTTTAAACGTGCGTTAAATTTAGTCGCCAGTTAATATCTAACTTCTGTCAGTAAGGATCTATAGTTTCAGTGTTGTGGAGTAGATCTCAACGTTTTCAGTTAAGAAAAAAGAAAAAAGATTGGTCGTTTTAATATCAATACTTTCGACCTAAAAATAACAGGATTTAATGTCTATATTGGTCTCCTAATTTTGAAATAACGATTTAAGAGTCTGGGCGTTAAAGGATTAATTAACCCTTTCATTCACAAATTACGTAAAAATTACCAAAGAAATATTTTGTTGTATTTTTGTCTACGTTACATGACATATAAATCATTCACCAGAGCATTTTAACATGTTTAAATCATCTAGGCAACTTCTTTATTTTTATCACAGTTATGCACAATAAAATCCAATTTTTCTTACCTTTAATCAATACACCCTCTTGAAATATTTGAAAGAAATGAGAGTCTTGTACGTTTCTATTGTAACAATGCTCAACACTCGAATTCCATCAAATGAAAGCAGCAAAGGACAAAGAATGTCTTAATTACTGAGAAACTTTTAAATGCACATTCAAATGTGTGCCATACCATCAATACAAGACATAAGAAATTCTTATCGAAGAAGATACTAATATTTTGTTTTGTATTTTAAAATACGTAGCCATATAGCAACAGTGGGAACGAAAGGATTAACTAATCAATAAGATGATCCATGAAATTATGTTAAAATGTTAGTAGCCCTTGTTTTTCCCTCCACCCTTCGTCTGTCGTCCATCTTTCTTCTTTACTTTGCCCATCTTTTATCTTTTCTGCATCACTACTATAATACCCACCTCCTCCACCGCATCCTCCACCACCGCATCCACCTCCCTGATTAGGATAGTAACCACCGCTTGGGTAACCACCACTTGGGTAACCACCCCCACAATTTCCACTACCGCATCCACCATTGTAACCTCCTCCAGGTCCACCTTCGCCTCCGTATCCACCTCCGAACCCACCTCCGCCACCGCCTCCGTATCCACCGTTATGCCCGTAACCCTTCAGTTTGCACTTTAGACATGGTGACCTCCTGTTACGAACTTTCGTCATGGTTTCCATTTTCGATTTCGGCAATACCATATCAGCATCACTCTTATCCAGCTTCACTCTAAGCAATTTCGTTTCACCGTCATGGTTGATTCTTTCCACATTGAAACCTTCGCCATGCTCGAAATCGTCCGCAACCTCGTCGAGATCCACCGGCACGTTGGTCTCTTCGTCGTCATCGTCCACCTCGATCACCAAAAACACGGTGGCCAACGGTCCTGCTCGAATTGATTTAGTTATTTCGTTGACAAGATCGTTTCATTTGAAATATAATATTATGGATATTTTGTTCTGTCACACTTTTCACTTGACAAATTCGATTGTCTGTCTGATAACTATTTCTACTTATCCCTGGAAATAATGTCACGGATTCTGTTTAAAGGATAATCGATTCAGTGGCATCTATTTTTTTTTGGGACAAGCCTTGAAAGCGAAATATTTAATCGCGAAGGATACTTCACTTCACCAAAATATTCTGATTTCACTTTGTTTTCCTTGAACAAGGTCTTGTACACTTTCTCCGAATTTTTAGAAATGATACAAATTGACACTTTTATTTGTCGTTCTTTTACCAAATTTCCATGAGATTCGTATGGTGAAATGCAGTATATTTGCGCGAAACTGTGTATCAGTACCTGCTAGTTCTGGTACTTTGCTGATAATTTCATTTTCGAACGTTTCATCCGAAGTCTCGCCACTGGAATTCTTCAGGCCGTATAAGTTTATAACGAAGAGCACGTATTGGTGATCCTCTTTTTCTGGTATTGGCGGTGGCTTCAGTTCAGTCGATAACGTAGTGTCTTCGGCATCGCTTACCACATCCGTAGTTGATTCTAGAAATTATTTTATTATTGTAAACATTATTTTGTTGTACGACACATATCATCAAGGTCGACAAGAGTCATCTATGCAGGGTAGATCATTAATAGAAGATATATCACTTAACACAATTTATACATTGTTTTAGCAGTTAAATAAAAAAGTATTATTAAAAATAAAATTTATCGCACAAATCAATAAATTTACTTCAACGCAGACTTTTTGAAAACATTGTTCAAGTTACTTGAAATTTCCATAGTTATTGAAAATAGATAATAATAAAGATTAACCCTGCCGTTATCCCCAATGAAGATTAAATTTGAATGAAAAGCAGCTGTGATGTAAAACATGTTTTTCTTACCTGGAGTGGGCAGAGCCGAAAGGGCTGTGATAAATAAAAATACGGACAGAGTCCTGAAACACCAGGACGTTTCTCCAGTCATTGTGGAAGAGCTCAGGACTCTCCAGGTACACTGTGCTCGGATCCTTTCATATCACCGCTTTTATAGCCATTTAATTGCGTAACGTCGCGAGTAGCGCGAAGCCACCACTCCGCTGTTGTTCTGCCAGAACAGCTGTTTACTGCGGTTGCATCTCTGTATTTTCGGTTTTTCCGCGAAAAATCCCGATTCCGGCCAACTGCAACACACGCGAACGTTATCGTTTTCGACTTAAGTGGGTTCACAAAATCGTCCGATACTATTCAAATATTCTTCGCCACGTGCTTCGCTAAATCGATGACAGTGTATTTTTATTAAACCACTAATCTGGGTATAATCAAGGTGAGATACATTCATTATCTTATTTTTTGTTAACAATCATGAAGAGTAATCGTTTTTGTGGGTGGTTTTTCTGGTTGGGATTTGGTTTTTCCAGAATTTAAATAATTTATCGTGTTTAAAGTTTTTATACTACAGAAGTACATGTATTGCACAAAGGAAAATATACATATAGCGAGGAACAAAAGTATTCGTGAATTTTGTATAATATGTATAACATTGTAGTGAGTCATATCGTATAACTTATACGTAGACATTAGTAGTGTAATTAACTTCTGTTCCTCTGTATTTGTTATCACTAATGTCTGCACACATGTATAATATAGAGGATACATATTTAATTGTACTTAATAATATATAGAAAATCAATTGTTTCTTATTTGTGTATTATAACTCTACGAATTACTTTCCCCCTCTCTGTTGTAAAGAAACTAAAGATAATATAACTAGAAGAATATCTATTAGCAGAAATAGCAATTTTCTGAAGGAAAGAAATAAATTTTGTATATTTCCAATCAATCGAGCCTAATGTGTATGAGTAGCCTAAAAGTAATGCCTGTACACTGCAAAATATGTAATAATATGTACGAAATTTGCCAACAAGAGAGGAGAAAGAGAAAGAGACTCCATTCTACCATAAAATCTTGCAGCTAGAAACGTATTGAACGCTCATTTAAAATACGAAAAAGCACAGATGCAGATCGATTCTCTATCGATTTGATAGCAAGAACAACGATCCTCTACCTAAAAATGATTTACTTTTACATTATTTTGTCAATCTTCATTGAAATCACAGTTCTTAATATTGAATTTTCATTAATTGGTTTCTGTATTCTTTCATCACAAGTTTTCTATTTCCATTTTATCGAACTGAAAATCGATATGATATCTACTTGAGATTTGCAATTATTTTTCGCTATAGTATCTATACGTATAAACATAATGGTACATAATATAATAATAATACGATCGTTGCGTGATGTGATAACAATCGTGTAAGAGAAAAATTAAATTGTTTACATCTAACAATATTTTTAAATGCTGAAAAATGGATTACCATTAACGGAATAGCTATGTGTAATCGGGTTTGAAAATTCATATTATAGTGCGTATAATGCGTTACTAATGTATTATATGTATTTGTTCATACACTATGATCATAAATAGATTGCGGATTTTATGCATTTACAACAAATATGAGTATACAAAACTTAAACGAATAATATCTTTGCTGAAGCAACTTTAATTTCATTTTTATTCTAGTCAATTTATTAGTAGAAAAAGTAACTTCCTGTTTCATCTTTGTATTTCTAAATTAGCCTATAATAATGTGAATTTGGAAAAACGTCCGCTGTCTACTTATACAACTACTGCGCAAATTATGTTGATTATTGAACTTTCCTATCCTTCACTAAAAATGCATTATCAGTTCCACGAATGTGACGAGCATCGTCATAGGTTAACACGCAAATTCGAATGTGACCTCAGTGAATGTAATGCATCTGCTAGTATGGTACATACAGGCTGTAACTAGTGAATGGAGAACGTGAAAAATAAGAATCTCCGAGGCTTAATACAGTTTTTATAAAAAGATAGAAAGTGTCTTTTCTGCTACAAGGTAATGTAATTGTAAGGTTTTTTAATTTGTCTAACCTTCGACTGTTCCCAAAAAAGGAGTGGAATAGTAGCAACAATGATGCGTTGTAAGAAATTATTGGAAGGAGATTTATATAACATGTTCTAAGAAGAAAAAAGTATACAATTGCATTATACGAACTTATGTACATGTAATAACAGTTTGTAGTTTCTTTTCCGTAATGATTGACAATTGTTATTGTGCCTTCTCTGTCAACCTGTTGCACTTCATTTTGTTATTCAAGGTTGTACGAGTGTTGTTATCTTCCATAGGGACAGAAGATGTTTGTTATAATTGCTGCAATGTGCTGCGCTGATTATTTCAGATTTAGATCCATTTTCAGACAAAGAAGAAAGTATAAACAATGTTTTGAAGAAACGTTTTCTCTTATTCCCCATCTTTCGTCCTTGATACCGACGAGCAGTCTTCCAAGAGTGTCTCAACAAAGAGTGCTTTAAACATAAGTGCATACAAATTTTCTTATTCCTTACTTTACAAGTACCTTTAAGAAAAATCTTGATGTTATTCGGATAACATCAAGATGTAGAAACAAAAATGAAACAGGAATTTATAGTTTCTACATATTGAGAAATCGAGGTGACCAAGAGTAAGATTAAATATTTATTAAAGGTGCATTGAGGTTGTCATTTTATTCTATTCGTCTTTCTCGTGGCATAGTATGTAGATTGACACGAAACTCAAATCTACAATTAAACAGGTTGATATCTAATTGAAAACAATTCATGATTTGGAAAATCTCTCCGAATTAGTTCCAACAAAAATACCTAACTTCCAAACCATTACTGTCTTGCTATTAATTTAACATATAAAACATTTCTATATATTTAATCTAAAATTTCATCCGAAATATTTTTCAACACGTTTGTGTTAAGTGTGTAAAAAAATAATAAGGTATCTCAATTATAATTATAAATTCTTCACGTAAATACGGAAAAATCGAATCAGTTAAATCAATATGACGCGTAATATGATCATCGTCGAGTGTAGGTAATACTTTACTTAATTCTGTCTTTCTATTAGACTACCATTAGAGAATAATTTTGACGCATGTCGTGGCGTCCAATTAATGTGCTTTAAATACATCATTCAGAAATTCCCTGGGAATTTTTTGTTTCTCCGAAACAACATAAGAAATCAGAAGAGAAGAGAGAAATAAACGAGTTTTTGTACGTATAATTCCCACAACATTATAAATGAATGGCGACTGCAATATTTTATTTTCTCATTAAGTCGCAGTAACGTCTGTAAGAAACATTGTTGGAAACCTTATTTAATAGAAACATTATTCTATTATTTCAATTATAATCATACACCATTGTTATTAAATTATTTAAGAGATAACAAAAGTTCAATATAGCTTTGTGCCTATTAATAAATATAAAAGTAATGTATGTATATAAAAAATTGTAAGTTTTACACTTTAATTGAAGTTTATATCGCGTCTGTAATACGTCAACTGAACGCCATCGTCTGACAATAAGACAGATTACGGCACATTTTCAATCAATTTACATAGTTAAATATCCATATGCCTTCTAAAAAATTAGTGGTAATTATTCGCTTCCGTTTCATACTCGATTATAGGAAATACAATTGTAAAACTGTTTGAATTATTCAGTTTCGTTATTTAATGATACGTATTATTAAAATAAGTAAATCTCGAGTGTATTATGGAATAGATTCAGGTGTGTTATTATAAGTGTAATTATTATACATATTATATAGAAGTATGTATAAACAAAAAACATTAAGATGGTATCAAATATGAAAATAATAAAGATTTTTTACAAATTAATTTGTAATTTGTATACAAAACACCGAGGCTTTTCATACTGTACAAACTTTAAAAAGCTATATTAATTCAATCAGTACACAAGAATATGGGGCTGAATACCTATATGGAGTTTGTATTATACTTGCCTGTGTATAATATACTGTTTCCAACTTGAACATGTCCTGTATACTTTATCATAACATAACATTAAAGCAATTGTCATTCGATGGGATACATTTGAAATATTTTAACACTAGAACTACCAGCATTGAATTATACTAAATTAGATTGTATGCCATAGTAATATACATAATATATGTATAGTAAAATGTAGCATACTATAGTGCTACTTAACATAAAATGGATAGTAAATTAACAAACCTGTGTAAATTCTATCAAAATCATTATAAGAATTTCAGTAATCGTAGAATAAGGAATGCGCAATCCGTTATTTTCAGGAGTTTGATAGTTTTCTAGTGTTAATACCAAAATTACTGACGACCAACATACTATGTATTTCTGCTAGAATAATCAGATTTACACGTTTAATATTCGTAAATTAATCATCTCAATCATTCATATTTATAATTACAGTGTAACATCCAATTCGTATGACTGGTTCCATACACGTAACAAAGCAGTATACAAAGCCGTCATCATACCTGCTTTGCTGGTTCTGGTAACGTGTTCTTTGGATGTTAATTAAAAAAACATAAAGGAATGGTAATCGAAACTGTTCGTTACCTATGATGAGCCTCCGCATATTTTTCATTCGTCACTAACGATTAAAATGATTTTTTCCCTCTATGATAAATTATCAGTTTGGCATTATTCAACGGAGGGGATTCGCTTCGGTGATGCTGCGCGACGCAGCAAGTACATAAAATGTAATCACAGTGTGCTCGTAGAACTGTTCTGCGTATCTGTTCCTTATGACTCAATTCGATCTAGGCTGATAATTTACGCGGGTGATTTTCAGGCAAAAAGGATGAGATCATTGCTTCGTACGGTTCGTATACGAATCGTACATATGTATGTCTGAAAGCAATCCAACAAGTTTCTGGTTCGTCTCTTCCTGTTGACTGTTTCAGAATTTTAATCTCCCCGTGACCTTGGCCTATCGAAGGTGAATCCAATCTATGAATAACGAGGAATTCGATAATCGCAATTTCCAACGTTACATCGGAGAGAGGCAACGGCTCGCGGAAAGTAATAAAAGTATCTATCTGTTCGCTGATTGTTTTTTTTTTCAG